TAAAAAAGTATGAATAACACCAGGTTATAGTCAGTTGCTATGCAACTTCATAAAGGCTGAATGGGAGGAAACACATTAGTGCATTAGTGACAATTTTAAATCCCATCTCAGGCCAATCTGACGATACACAAAAAATAAAATTACATGGTGTCTCTGTACAAACATTCTGTGCAAGTCCTACAAATAAGACATTTCTTCCATTTCTGTCATTAAAGCACATTTAATAATGTCACAGTTCATGAGCAGGGGAGGGTCACAGACTAAATAACCATTTTCTGGCAGAGCTGGTACACACTGATCTCTGTTCTGCTTTCCTGGGTGGCTATAAAGTCAACCCCTTCAGTGGGGCCGCAGTCTTGGAATAGCGGAGTCAGAGAGGTGCCATCCAGCCTGCTGCTGTAATTCCAGCCCATTAAACCAGGACAAAATGCACCCTGGAAACAAAAAAAGACTTCCACTGCCACAGCCGAAAAAAGAACAATTTAATTAATGATATGACTAAATTATCAGGACATTCTTAAACCTTAATAGGAAAATAATCCCGTCAAGAGGTCCAGCAAATTCCCTTGTCACTCCAAAGTATATAACTTGTTACATACACTAATATTGGATTGCTATCTGTATGTACATACCTGCATGCGAGTACTATGCACTGACTCAATTACAAGCAGAAATAACAGGGTCAGCAAAATGTGTCAAGATCACTTGAAACCTAACCTCGCTTGAATTGTTCTGCAGTGAGGCAGAATGGTGGAGGGACTAGGTCACTCCAGGTTTTGCATTGTGTATTTTTATTCTCCTGACACTGAACAATTCTGTTGTCGCAACAATTTCCCACAGTATTCCTGGAAGTTGATGATCCCATCGCTGCTCCTTGGAAAGTCCATCTGAAGCCATCACTTCAGCATCGCAAGCTGCCACTTCACTCAGCATGTCCTCCTAAAACACTGCGATGAAGACCACAAGAACGAACCTGTCCCGCTGGTCATTAAGGAACAGCACTAACTGCAAACAAGCCTGTCATCTGACAGTGTCAGTCAGGTGTCAAACTAGGTTCCCAAGCCTAGTGTTAATGTACAACACGCAAGACATGTTTACACGTCACTGTTTTTTTTTATCTTTACTTAGCCTATAGTCACATTTCTATAACAAGAAACCAAGTGAGAAATTGTTATACAGTAAAATGAGGAATGCAGGTGTATCAGTGTGCGAGTGTCTACAATGAGAAGTGGGTGATGGTGGGAAAACGTAAAAGTGGAGGGCGGAGAAGCTGCATTCCGAAAGATGTTTCTCACATTCCATTGTTGCAACAAGTATTCTAACATTAGCATCATAAATGACAGGCAGGGCAGAAATAACCAGGGTCTCTGCTGGCAGGCTGTGCTAATGATAGGTGGGGGTGCGCACACACACACACACACACACACACACTTATGTATGTAACACGCAAGCTGAAAAAAACATATTTCCCCTATTCATTTCATGTTGTGTTCCAAGGTGATGGAACAGTCCACTCATATTGATGCCTTGTTTTCTATCTTTTTTTTAAACTGTTGACCGAGTGCCCAGATGGATGTACTGAAAGGATCCTGCAAATAGCAACTCAAAGAACTATATCCAGGTACTGTCAGAGGACACTTAGGTATGTAAAAGCTGGGGTAGAAGCAGTGTATGATCATTCAGCCTGGCTGCCTGCCACTCTAAAGGCAACATCTGAACTGTTTCTAAAACTCTACTGTTGAAAACTGACTGAAAAGGCCACATATGGAGATAAAGTGGGGTAGTCTAGCCTCAACTGTGTTTGTGCAAAGTGGAATCACAAAGCATCAATCCACTGACTGGCCTAAATGGACCAGCCCAGGGTCACTAATACAGCCGAGTTCTCAACAAAAATCCCACCAGCTAAAATCCAATGCAGAAAGTCCACGATATACTTGTCTCTCTCTGCCTGCTTGCATTTTTGTTTATATATTTGGGAGAGAGTGCTTTCATGATGGAGCGTCTTCTGGAGATGGCCAGAAGCATGGTACTCCTTCTTAAACTGCACAGCCCTGACGCTCATTGTGATCTGCCCTACTTTCATATTTTGAATATTTTTTAGGAGACTCCTACACTCATACACAGGAGACGGATTTCAGAAAAGACAAAAACCTGCTAGTTTACTCGCCCTCTCAGAAGACAGACCCCTGAGGCCCTGGCCCCGTCAAGGACTGAAGCCTCAGGAGCTGAATGGGGGTCGCCTGAGGACAGAAACACGCTTCTGATAGGCTTTAAAGGAAGGCCAGTCCTGCCCCCCCACACGTGAGAGAACCACTAGGCAGGGTTAGAAACATCAATCCCTTCAGCAGCATTTGAGCATTCCCACCTTGCCTCTTCATGAGGCAGGTTGAGCACCAGGTGTTCCAAAGCATTTCTGGGTGGGGTTTGGAGCCTGCAGATATGATGCATGGGGGTGGGGCCCCAACACCCAGGACAACTTTACTGCCACTCAGCACCAATGATATTAGCCTAACAGTATACAGCTTGACACCTGCTCATCATTCCTTGTTTGCTATTTATATTCACTTGTTCATCATTCTTTAATATAGATCTCAATCCTTCTTCATAACATTGCAGGAAAAGTAGAACCAGCATCCAATGCAAACATATACTTTTGTCTGAAGAAATACAGTTATTTCTACCACTTAAAATGTTTCAGGCATGCAGGAAACAAAACCAAGTGAAGGTTTCAATTAAAGACAGAATTTTTTATGAAAAATTAACATTCATTTTTAATAGGTTTGGTACACAGTTGTCTAACAGGAGCTAAACAAAAATATTTTAAACATGTATTTATTTGACATTTACCTGATGCTGATCCAAAGTGACAAACAGCAGAGGTTTTACGATTTATGAGAGTTACTTGGGATTTGAACCCACAACTGTTGCTTTGTTAAAACTTTGCTATACTTGGTGAGCCACAAGAGATAAACAGGCAACCATGACGTGGAATCTCAAATGTGCACCTAAAACATGGAGGTGGTGACACTGCCTTCACTCCTATTAGCAAGATGGAACAAGAGCAGCACACCAAGAAGAACAGGGCTGCCTAACAGGTCTGCCATCACACCACAACTCTCAGACGCCTATCAAATCAGACGAGGTGCAAAGTAGCAACTTAATTTCAGTGTAGAGAGGCTGGATCTGGGTGGACATCTCACGAGGGTTAAAACCCCTGAGGATCTTCCTCGTGTTCAAGCATGACTTGACGTGTTTTGCCCAAGAATAACTTCTCTTGGCTTCTGCATGTAAAAGAAACTGCTGCTATCTTTGAAAAGCACTGCAACCAGAAGAGAAGCCAGAGAATGCTATTCCCTACATGAGGACCTTAGTGGAGCACTGAGACACAACTGACAAACCCACATGCCTTGTGACCGACCAACGGCACGATTACTCATGCTTTCATTCTATCGCATTGGTTCGTTTTTAACAACTAGGCTGTCAAGCACACAGAAAACATACTGATCTGGATCAATAAGCATCCTGATCAAATTTCTATTTAAACTGATTGTGAGAAGTTTGCAGTCATAGACATTGTGGCATGCTCACAGCTAGCGAAACAGACTATTTCACGATAAACCCTATTTCTTCTAAATCTGATCAGAAACATAATTAACCTTTTATATGTATTAAGTTTTTTTTTAATGATTATTTAACAGTGTTTTGAAATGTTTCAAAAATCTTCAGCAAAACAAAACGCCCTTTTGATCATATTTTTGACCAATGTCTCCCAGCTGCAGGCCAAGGTGCGCTGTTCCACGCCCACTGCGTGTATCCATTACCCGAGGCTACCCTGAGTGTCACGGCCGTGATCCGCCACAGCTTTTATCGCCCTCGGCGACAACTATCTGACACAAATGCAAAGACAGATGCAGTCGGACGTCACGTCTCCGGGAAAGAAAAAAAAACCAGAAGCTCGATCGATAGGGAAACTTGTGGAGCCGTAAGGATTACAGTTATTTCCACCATGATCCTGGAGGAACTGCAAGCCTAACGGCAGGCAGGGGTGGAGGGGGAAATCCTCAACGCCGTGCAGCCCCCCCCACCCCCACCCCATCGCCACCGAAAATTACGATTGACACCATTCCTTTCTAAAATAACGTTTAAAATTAGTCCATGGCAATGCGTGTATGTGACTTGGCAATCAAAGAAATCATACTCGTTCATCTGTGATGGGCGGTAACATGTCATCTGGAAGTACTGGGAATAGCGGTGTAAACCAGTTACATTTACACCTAAAACTACTACATTTGAGCGCATAAGGAGAGCTATGCTGTGCCGTTTGGAAAAATAAGAGGTCTTCTTAATCTGTGCTCCATAAAAAAATAAATTACTTCCCATCCCTGATCGTGTTATAAGAGTCTATTCTGAGCTGCTCGTCATGACGAGCTGTGTCCGTCACAGCCCCCCCCCCCCACTACCGTTTTGGTTAGCCTAACTAGTACCACCAACGGTACGGTCACTTTTGCATTTGACAGGGTTTGGTGACTGGCCGAAAGCGTGGCCGGCCATGGGTTGGCCAGCAGCAAGGGCCGGGCGAGCAGGGGTGCCGATCGCCGCGGCCGAATCTGGCTCTCGACCGTCACCCCCGTCTCCTAGGTTTACCGTCGCCCAGTCGGGACGAAAAGGCGGTCAGGCGGCACCCCTTTAGCCCGCTAAGTAGCTAGCGGATTACCTGGTGGAAAACGCCAGTGAAAGGAGACACCCTTCATCGCTTTCGCTCGATACCTCCCCCCCTCACCTCTCCCTTTCCCTTCTCCGATATTCCGCTCAGCACTATGAAGCCCCCCACACACGGTGTGATTACGACATCCACTTCTAGCACACAAGGCGTCTTAAAAAGGCATGTTTTCCAGACAGTTTGAACCGTTAAGCGTGCCCGTCTCCCCCTGCCCAACCGGCGGTCTGACTTCTGCTGAGGAGTACAACGATGAAAATCAGTTTAAAAAGCAGCCGCCTACCTCCTCGCGTATCCCGTCCGACCGGTGTGAGTTACCGCCGCCGCGCCGCATCCGCCGTCAGCAAAGGACCGTTATCTGAGAAAACGTCTTTCAGTAAAATATGACCCTTTAGTGTAACAGTTAGCTAGCTATTTCTCCCCTTTCCACCCTCTCTCCCTGCCCCTGCCAGCACTACTAGCAGCTCCCCAAGCCAGGGCGCTCCGGTGACGTAAGGATCACGAAGCGCGTTCACGCCTCTCACCTCCACAGCCACGCAGGAGTCCCGGTGCACTCCGGACACGCTGCGGCGCCATGCTGAGAAGGTCGCCTTATAATTTAATTTTCGTTTGTATCTAGTATTGTATCTATTGCTATTACGAGTAAACATTATTAATAATATGCTTTTTTGAAATATTAGTAATTCGTACATCTGTAATTTACGTAATACTGTTTCAATCAAATCACATTTTTGTTTTGTTCGTCCGTTATTATGTTACAGGTTTTTCCCACGCTCGTATTGCTTATTTCGTAAGTTGTCACCTCTCAGCATATTGTCTTTGGAAAATAAATATTCTTCATGATGCTTTATAAAATGCAAGATCATTATTGCAAGCGGTTACAGAAAATGGATGGATGGATGGATGAATATTACTGTTAAAATATAAAATAATGTATTAAAAACTTCATTCATAATATGAATAATGAGTTATCGCATTATTATTTTCACCATGTGGTTTATTATTGAGTACGTTGTTCGATAATAGTTGTATCTCCACTGCATGCAAAATATTCATCTTACCGTTTATATATTTCAGTAAGGGTATAACGCATATTTGAAATCTTGTAATACCTTTCACGAACTTGGTCTGCGTTCGAATATGGATTATCTCAATGATTTGAGGTGTAATACACAACATATCCACTTGAGGTCAGTATTTTCCACACTCTTGCTCTTAACTGATATTGTTAATATTTTCATGAATTGCCTTTTCACTAGTGATGGGCAAATGATACTTCATGAACCATTTGCTGTATTTTCTGACCCAACTAGATGGTGCACTGTTCATAAAAGGGCTCAAAGCATGCATCAAAGCAAACAAAGAGGACCACCTAGTGGTGTGAAAAAATATAGCAAATGGTTCATGAAGCTTCATTTGCCCATCCATCCATCCATCCATTATCTATATCACTTTATCCATCTGGGTCGTGGGGAAGCTGAAGCTAATCCCAGCATCATCGGGCGAGAGGCGGGGTACACCCTGGGCAGGCCGCCAGTCCATTTGCCCATCACTACTTGTAACTATATTTCACCATATTTAGTTCTTGCATTGTACAGTTTTATCCTTCACAAGTACAATTGTTTATTGTGCATGTATGCGGTTTGTAGTACATTGCAAAATGTTTGTGCAATGTTGAGGATGTTTTTATTACCTGCAGATCGTGCTCTATGTTTAGAGTTGATTTTCAGTGCATTTTTTTCAAGCAGCAGATATGTGAGATTTAGTGAGTCATGGTTTGCTCTTCCTATCGACAGCATCTTCTGTGCCAGAGGTTTTTCGATGTTTCCTACATATTTGGCAGCAAGGAGCCTGCTGCCCAATTTAACAAAGCAATCTTTGCTGCAAGGAGTTCAGCAGCAGCAGTACATAAGTCCCATTTGCTTGAATTTCCTGGGCAGGACAGGAGAGTCAGATGGATCGGATAGTTTGACCATTTTGGTGATATAGGTCTCTACATTGGCACTCCACTTCAGGCGCAAAATCAGAATATTCATGTTCTCAGGTGACAGCAGTTAGCAATCCATTACACCTCCAAGCGCCCATCAGCATCACGTGACATAGGTCATGTGACCTATGACATGCATGAAAAGCAAAAGCCTAGAGGGATGTACCAAAATATCTGGACACAAGTAATACTGTTATAATCTTTATTGCATTACATATGATATATGAAATGTAGCATACATATAAAGTATAAAATTAAAGCTGGCATGATGAATGGGGTCTCATAGTAAACATACTGTATAAGATATTTTTGCTTTTGGATCACTGAACACACTATCACTTAAATTAATTCTTTATAATTTTATATTAATGATTAAATGCAATGTTAAATTCATGCACTATTTTATAGTCACTAGTGAAGTTAAATTAAAAATAAATTAAACATTTCTGACACTACAAAAACTTAAGATGCCTTTTATGCATAAATACAAGCTGTTATACAGTATGTGCTTCTCGTGTGGCACTGTTGGTGCGCATGAACAAATGCGGTGGACTGTGATGGTGGGTTGGGGTAAACCTGAAGGAAAACACAAAAAAGAGCAAAGTTTTGTCAGAAGACAGGTTCATTTTACATTTTATTTATTGAGCAGATGCTTTTATTTAAAGCAATGAACGAGTGAAGCAGATAAAATATTCTTTCCAGGTTCTTTGGAGAGCTCAAAAGAAACATCAACCATCTACAAATACCATTTTACTGGCCTGAGACACCAGCAACAGATGTATCATGGTCCTCTGTGAATTGTGGTGGATTTTTAATAGATTAGATTAGATCAACTTAATTGACCTCAGAGGGAAATTCTTGTGCATTCAGCAGCAAGGCACGTAGAGCACCGATGAATATACATTTTCCACAAAATAGACAACGTGCAAATATCTAAATCAAATATTTTTTATCTTCACACCTGTGCTGGTCTATCACCTTCATGGCAAATCACACACCAACCTGTATTTCTGTGTTTGTTTTTCACCTGCACTGTCAGTTGGGATACTGTGCAGCCTTCTGAACTCCAAAAGCAGTGATGAAGATGTTAATAATCACAGTTAAGAACACTAGTCCAGTAGCTATGTTGTTTATAATATCCAGCTTCCTCTGGTTGGCAACATTATTGAGATTCTTAAAAGCTTAAAAACAAAAACAAACACAGCCTGATCAATTTTGATGGTTAAACAAAAACATTTTTAGCAAGCTGATGTTGCAGTTAGATTTTTTGCAATACAGAAATAGCCCAAAACTATCTAACAGGTCACAACATGTTCATATAGGTTGCAATATATAAAACACAAAATGATCCATGTTTATTTGAGTCAAAGGAGATGTGGCACTCCATTATTTAAAGGTCAAAAGGCCTTAAGTTTCAGTCTGCTTCTTACCCATGACCACAAAGAGAGCCCCTGCCAGGATCTGAAGGAGGAGGGAGACCCCAATCAGCACCAGAACAGCGATGTAGTACTTGAAGCCGGGTCCTTGCTCCAGCATGGCCTTCATCTGTGATGCATTGGCCATCAGCAGCGCCACATCCAGCATGCTCTCTGCCACACTCTTCTTGGTGGCATAGTGGTTCATGTTGATAGGGGCCAGCCGCTCAGGCTTTGGGGGATGGGTGAGGGATGGGGAAGAATGTGGGTATGGAGACCATGATCACAAATCAGCGCGACACCACTGTGCAGTGACAAATTTCCCCTAGTGCAAATTCTAGCAGAATTTACAGTGGAATTTCAAACATTTTTATTAGTTTTGATAATCTGAATTGGTCTGTATCGTGTAATAGCAAATTTATTGGTTTGTCATAGAATTACTTGGAAAAAGTATTTTAAGTGGCTATACTGTACCAGCACTCTATTTAGACTACAATGGGTTAAATGTTCTTAGTCTCTGTGGATGTGTGAAATGTTTTCACACTAGGATGACCATCTATTCTGCATAATCAGTAATAATGCCTTTTGCTCTTGTCTTTCCTCAGCGTTTAATTTCTACTTTGAAATTATCCAGTGCACCGCTTTATTAAAGATGTACGTTTTCAGTGTTTTTCCAGCAGATGGCGCCACATTCACAAAAAACATATTTAAAATGGCCACAGGGAGTTAATGTAACATTTGAATACTTTTTATTTCGCAACTTCCTGTCTGCAAACTAACTCTTTGGATTCATTCAAGCATTCACATTTTTCAAACTGATTCTGAAAATTAGCATTTTCATCGCTGAACAACAGATGGTCGCACATTCTATAAAAATAAATAACTGGCAGTGGGGGTTGCGTGGGAGTGGTGTGAGGTGTTGAGAGACAGATAGAAAACACAGAGCCGTTCCATGAAGTGAATTGTCCAGTGTCACTGCAGCATAGTATATAAATGTGTTTCACGTATCCGCCAGCTAACAGCCAAGAAACACTGTAAATATTACAATCGCATGCAACTTTCGGAGCATTTCCAGTGAGCCTCCCGCTGACTGTTGGGCCCCGTTGTCGGTCCCTGAGGAGGGTCACGTGATTGTAACCGGAGCCGAGGACAGACTGGCAGGCTCCAGGCAAGCGGTCCGTGGTCCCTTGGGGTCACATCCACAGGATGCATGCACACTTATGGCCTCCAGTTAACAAAGGGCCGCTTCAGGTGAATTTACAGCGCGACACGGGAAAGGGGGGTGTGACTTTTTCCAAAGGAAGCGAGGAGGTATGGCAGATGAAGGAGAAACTGCAACACTTAGGACGTATGAAGAGTTTGATGCGCAGGGAGCATGGTACAATTTGGACAGGAATATGGAGGGATTATATAAGTGAAAGAGTCTTGACCAAAAGAATCGCACATAACCGTATTCACAACCATTATGTCTCCCATTATTTTTTTTTTAGTTATAAACTCATGGTAATGTGCACTATAACATTTCAAAGGTAGTAATACATTCGAAATATATCGTGCACACCTTTGTCTCAATTTGCAGCGCGATAATCAAAACAGGAGTTTGTTATAGAGTAATCAATGTAACTCATGCCTGCTTAAATCCACCCTCACTCTTACAACACTCACTCACACCTATGGGTACTTTGGTAACTTTAATTAGCCTCAGCATGTTTTTTGACTGGGGGGGACCAGAGCACTCCACGACGATACGAGGAGAACACGTAAACTCCAGGCACATGGAGCCCTGCCGGAGACTCGAACCCATGCAGGTCCCAGCGATGTGCCCCACCGTGCCGCCCCCTGGGAAAATCACACATGACAATTAAACAAATTAAATGTAAATGTTTGCTGTGTAGTAGAGTGCGCAGATTTGTTTGTACTTATATCGCGTTACTATGACGTAATGAAGGCTAAGGTTACTACACCTTACGTGACCTACACTCAAAAAATAGGACAGCGACATTAGATATTTCAGCTTCAGGCTACAACTTCACTTTCAACCTTTGGCCAGAAGAGGGAAGTGGATTTTAAGAAAAGTTAAACAGATGAATTTAAAAATGTTCATGCGGAAAACATGCGCATTTTAGCTCGCCGAAAGAAGAAAATAACCCAAGCCTGGATGATATTATCAAATATTCTGCTACATTTTATTCAAAAGTATAACATCAAAGAATGTTAATGTAATCCATTATCAAACTACACAGTAAATCTCATTTTACCCTTATATAATCAAATAGGCTACATGCATGGTTTAGATTCTATATGCTGAGATTCAAAAGTTTACAGATGTTTTTTTTTTTTAGAAAAGTTAAAAACCCAGACATTTTAAGAGTAAATCAGGTTTAGCCTAAATTAGGAATTAGGCATGCATCCAAATACCACACAGGCTGTCATATTAGTTTTGTGCATGTCCAGGATTATTTCTTTTTAAAATAAACACCACCGGGGAGAGGTCTGGATTATTATACAAAAGGGGCCGAAATATGTCACCCACACAGGAAGTATACCTCCCCTCCAGCCCATTGGCTGCTGTTCCATCCAATGGCGAACAGCAGCTGACGAGGAGGGTTTGCTTGAATAGATAACACTTTTACCCAGTTGCCTACCATATAGCTGTGGGTGAGGGGAGTTCTCCAGTAACTCCCCACACCCAGTTCCCTTCACTCATCGTACCCCCAGCTAGTCTGGTGTGTATCATGCGTATCTTGTGTGTATGTTCCCCTCCATGATAGCTGGGTTAGTGCAGTTTTTCCCAACCGAGTGCTTGGGGACCCACATGCGGTTCAGGTTTTTGCTCCCTCCCGGTTCCATGTCTATGGACTGTCTGGCAGGGAGCAAAAACGTGGACCATCTGTGGGTCCCCTATGACTGGACTGAGAAATAGTGGGTAAGAGGATCGCTCACTGCTCCCAGTGGGACAGGAAAGCCATGCCTGTGGGTTATGGCTGCCAAATGGCCCTCTTCATCCAGGCAAAGTACGGGGAGCTCCCCCTGGCAGCTGGCAGGAGCTCTGGTGACAATCCCACCACTGACTTCCCTTCCTGGGGGAATGACCCAAGACCAAGGGGCCCTGAACTGGTGCCTTCAGTCCAATTCTTAGGCCCTGAGTGACACTCTGGCTCTTCTACTGACTCACCTGAATGGTCCCTTTATGCACTGAGTATCTGGTATGTTCTCACATAAGATGCAATTTATCAGGTTAAAAGGCAATTCCCTAGTTCAACTGGCATTTTATCATCATTCAAGGAAACATCGTTCTCTGTTATATAAATGTGTTCATTGAAGAGAGCGTGATTTGTTAGATTTTGGCATATATATTATGTGTGTGTGTGTGTGTATATCACACACATAAACTCACACATAGCATCGTGCAAAAGTCTTAGCAGTTAAAGAAAACATTTAAAGGTGTTTCCAAACAGTCACTGATATCTTGCTGGATGGCTAGTTGAACACCGCTTCAGGTCCCAAACCTCTCCTCAGGGGCACCTCAGCCATTCCAAGTATTTATAAAATTTCACCAGCAGCTCTATTAATTAATTAATTAATTTCATTTGCTAGATAACCCAATGAGATATCAATTAGCTATAGAAAGTGTTGAGGGATTTCCATAGTTAATTTGTAGTTAATTATTTTCCTTTAGTTCACTCATTTATAGCTTTTATATTTAATAATTTTATGTTTCTTTCTGTCCTTGTTACTTGCTTCCTCACATCATGTTCTTTGCCTCTCATACGACTCACTCTTACCAAGGCAGTCTGACCCCCCCTGGCTCCAAGAGTATGTAAGAAGATGGGGGGGCAGAGACAGATGCAGACAGACACTGAACCGGCCGTGTGAAACATCTTTCTGTAACATCTTCATTCTGTCTTAGTAATCTGCTTAAGCTTAAGGAACCTGCCTCATCATTCAACTGTGAATGAACCTGAGGTTTCACTGAAGAAATCTATCAGTTGGCATCACAAACGGGATCGGTGAGAGACAAGGCCAAGAGACTAATTAATGCTGGATGAATGAAGACAACAATTAAGCGCGCAAATCAGCGGAGGTAAGATCTTCCTCCTGTCTTTGGTTGAGGGCTGAAAATAGCCTCCCCCCTGCTCAAACACCCGATCAGAGAGTTGTCTGATGAAGAATAAGTAAATGTAACTAATTGTGAGGTATCTCTATTTGTTGTGAGCTCAAAGAAGACATCCATCAATGTGCTAGTGGTTGAGTCAAAAATACATGGGTGTATTGGATGGTTGCTGCAGATGCATGAACTTGGAAGAGCTTTTGAAATGGCTAAGCTGACACACTGACAAATATAATATCATTATCAGATTTACGACAACATGAAGATCATAAAAATTCTTTGCTTAAGAATTTTGTAGTACTGTGTATAATATATATATACACAGTGCATATACACCATCTCACAAATTTCACCTATAATTATAATGTAACTTTCTAAAATACATTCTTTTTCAGTACTAAGAAATTCTTTAAAACAGGCAGCTGTTTTGCAGCTTATTATTATGTGGTTAAGGCAGCTAAAATTACACACATAAATATTGCACCACAGTATATAGTTTGCTCCCTACCCTCGAGTAATGAGCCAATCACAACCAAAGCTTCAGGTTTGAATCCATTGTTGTATGGAATGCTGGCTTGTGCTATGTCTTCCAGTTTAAAGTCATGATAGTGGAGGCCTATATCAGATAACCTCTGCCCAGCTTGTCAGCATAGGACCTGAGAAAAACTGACAATGCTAACATACAGTGGATTGATGAGGGATTCATGGCATGGCAAACAATAGCAACCTCGAAACTCTCAGCCAGTCGTAAATCAGTTTACGGCTTAGCTTTGACTCTAAGCTCCATTCCATTCTTGGCTCTGTTCTTATGGTCGATGTGCTACTCTGTCTTATTAAATGCTCATTTAGTCAAGTATCTGAAAATGGGCTGGCATCTAAAGAGCATGTTGTAATGAAGAAGCTGTTAATCGGGGGGGGGGCAAAAGTTCAGTTTGCACGAGGTAAACTAAGGAATTTAAACCTGCACACCTCAGAATATGGAGCCATATAAATGGGCCTGTATTGGTTAGAGAAAAGGTGTCCTGCCATATAAAAGGGTGAGACGTGAAGCTCACAGACAAAGCCTTTGAGTTAATGAGTAGTAAATGTCACTGCTGTCTGACCCAGTGGGGAGGCAAATA